TCTCTACTGAAAATACAAAAACTAGCCAGGATGGTGGCAGGTACCTGTAATCCCAGCTATTCGGAGGCTGAGGCAAGAGAATCACTTGAACCCAAGAGGCAGAGGTTGCAGTGAGCCAAGATTGTGCCACTATACGTCAGCCTAGGTGACAGAGTGAGGCTCTGTCTCAAAAAACAAAATGAAACAACAACAACAAAAAACTCTATTCTTCTAATGGCCCAGCTCTGTAACACAAAAGCAACAAATATAGTGGTGCTATTTCTATATTATTTTTAAATTTGCAAATAATTTTAATTTTCATTTGAACCTCCAGTATTCTTTAGGTAGATAGAATAAAATGATATTTCCTATGTGTAACCAATGAATAACCATGGCAGGGTTCACCTATGTCACAGAGAGGAGACTAAAGCTACATTTTCTAAATCCTTTTGTAGTGGAAGCAAAATCATGTAAGACCCATTATGAGCTTTGGAATCAGGCAAACCTGGGTGGAATCTTAGTTCCATTGTAGGCATTGTGACCTTGAACAACTTACTTCTTTTCTGAATTTAAATTTTCTTGTCTGTAAAATGGATATAATAGTACTTTCCTCCTGGGGTTGTTAAATGAGGTGATTTTTAAAATATGCCTGGCACGTAGTTGTTTAGTAAATGTACCACTTCAAGGACAAGCAGAAAAAACCAGCTTAAGAAAATGAGAATTTAGCATAGGAAACACATACCAAAGTTGAGAGCTGATTCTAATTAATGAGTAGAATATTAGTGGAATTTTGAGTTTGTGGGTTGCTTAGCAACCAAAATTAACTCAATACCACTGACTACCCAAATTGTTGTTTTTAATCAAAGCAGTAAACTGCTCTTAAGGAGCTCAAGGTTCTGAACAGACAAAAGGATTCCCCTGTGCATTTGGGGTTGTGTCAGACATCTTGAAAAAATGATGCTCCAGCTCCTCTGTGGTTTTGTACTTAAACATCTTGGACATTTGGATTCCCCCAGTTCTCTGCCTGTAAGTGACAGATGTTACAACATCTGTTACATTGGATAGAGAGTGAGAAAGGAGAAGTGGGTGTATGAAGCCAAACTCATGGAGTGCTAGGGCTCAGAAATACAAAAGCATTTGTCTTTGCCCCTGCTGCTTTTTAGAATTTCAGTCTAGGAGAGGAAACAAGTCAATATTGAATAATACAGCAAATTATTCATGAGCGGCTCGCTGTGTCCCCCGCAGTATTCTAAGAGTTACAGACTGAGCAGTACAAGAACATAGAGGGCAAGTCTGAAATATCCACGGTTAGGAGTTTTGTTTTCTTGGCAAAGCAGCCCTGAAAGAATATCCCACTTTGGTTCTCCACAACATTAATATTTGATTCACAGCCTTTAGAGCTGGCATTGAATGTTGGAGAGGCTCTAAAGAGGGGTGGAGGGAACTGGAGCTCCATGCCACTGTAGGTCACTTACACCTCTTTTACCTGAAGCCAGAGATTCAACCAATCTGTGCCCTTCTTTTCTCATTTGTAAGCTGGGCGTGATGATTTAGATTCTGCCTCCCTTATGGCAATGAGTATGAAGCAATGAGATAATAAACACAAAAGTTCTGTTGCAATAAATGCAATTTCTAGCTAATCTTCATCAATTTGCCAGCAGGTTTACATCGAATTTCATTGAGCATCCTTGTATCTTCAGGTACATTTTCTTTTTCCTTTATAACTTGTAGTCTTAACAATTTAAAGAGAAAAAAAAACCTGATGAACTTGGAACAACTGTGTTTATTTGCACTTAAATTTGTCTTCATCATTTGTAGCTTGGTGTGCTAACTTCTTTTGCAGTGAAGATCAACTTTATTACTTAGGAAAAAAATCCATTGTGCCACTTTGGCATGTCAGCATTTATTTACGAAAAACATGACCTCAGGCCTACAGGCCTTTAAGGCAGACAGCTGGTTGATGAATCATGTTCAACATTCATATAGTGCTGCTGGCATATGTCAGAAGGACACTCCCGCTAATCACCTGCCCCTGTCAGTCCTTCCACTTCTAATAAAGCATATCTGTTTTGGTGACCGAATAAAAACACACCAAGTGGAGAAGGGCCGGGTGTGGAGTAATTTAATCAGGACAAGTCAGCACACTGCATTGAGCAGTACAGTATCAAGGATAAAAAGATGGTTTGGTAGCAGCTGAATGACATGAAGTAGATTAGAAAAGGCGGAAGCACAGTTCCCCTTATTATCATAATGGGTCATGACCCTGGAATGTAGGAGCCCCAATATACCCTCCAATCAAGATTTTTAAGGAGACAGGATTCCCATAAGTTCCCTTCTGAAGTGCCACGAACGTCTTACATGGCCTTTCTCTATTAGCATCATATTAACATTTGCTGAGGATTATAAATTTTTAAGGAAGGTCAAACCAAAGTTCAGAGCTCCACTAGCGAATCTTTTTAATACTGGCTTTCGTGGGTGTGTTTGGTATCTTGAAGAATTGATTGATTTAAAATACCCTAGTTTTGAAACAGCAGGGCGACTGACATTTGCAGTTTGGTATTTTGCAGTTCTCACTACTCATTGTATTTTTAAAATAAATTTTCTTTGTTGTGATATCCGGTAGAACAGAATTTTGTGTTTTGTTTAAGAGTAGAAATTGAACATGTTCAGGATGCTGGTCTGTCTTGAATTTCATCACCATCATCTTACAGATTGGTGGGGAGGAGAAATAATTAGGGATATGCAGGATGTTTGAATTGTATTTGAAAACAAGTAAAAACAACAATATGACTATAAGTTTTAAGTCTAAGGTTTTTTTTAGTGATTTACCTGGCAGTATTCTTAAAGTCATTACTTACTGAGAAAAGAGTCACTATCTATGATGAAAAACCAGGAACTTCAACAATGGCTCCTTTATTTCCATTTCTGCTTCTATTGGTGATTATACTGTTCCATTTTTTTACTCCAGCTAAGTCATTTCCACCTCTGTGTGTGTGTGTTTTTTTTTCTCCTATGGGGCAAGGTCTGTGATATCTGATATTTTATTAACAGGTGTGCTGCAAATAATCTATTTCAAAAATAAAACACTAAATATAGCGCACAAGTTCAAGGCTTTTGAAGGTTACTGTGGTTTTTAAAAATCAATGTAATGAATGCCTTACAGTGAAATCATTTATTGTTAGGAAACCGGGTGGCAAATGATACATATATCCTATAGCTCTGTCATGGCTGAAGCTCTCCTGACCCAGATTACATATTAGCATTTCTACCATATGGCTGAAAGGGTAGAGAATGTATGTGCAGAGTAACAGAGTTAGTAACATTTTTGACCATCTGGTAAATAAATACATAAATAGCAGGAATATTAATATTTATTTAGTTATATGATACAACCTTTAACCTTAAATAACCACTAGTACAACAAAGTAGTACTAAATTTATATTTCTTGGCCAGGCACCATGGCTCACACCTATAATCCCAGCACTTTGGGAGGCTGAGATGGGTGGATCAAAAGGTCAGGAGTTCAAGACCAGCCTGGCCAAGATGGTGAAACCCTGTCTCTACTAAAAATACAAAAAATTAGCCAGGTGTGGTAGTGGGCGCCTGTAATCCCAGCTACTCAGGAGGCTGAGGCAAAGAAGTGCTTGAACCAGGGAGGTGGAGACTGCAGTGAGCCAAGATCATGCCACTGCACTCCAGCCTGGACGACAGAGCAAGACTCTGTCTAAAAAAAAAAAAAAAGAAAAAGAAAAGAAAAAAAAATCCTTTGCTAAATTTATATTTCTCAAATAATTTCCATCGAATTTATTAAATGTTTTCACAGTCAATTAATGCTCTTAGAATGTGACTTCTAATTATGTTTCTTATGTTTATTGATATAGTAGGGTTCCTTATCATGCCAAATTAAAAAATCTTTCATGAGAGGCCACATGATTAGACCCAGCACATGGGCAAAGTGCCAAAGTTCTGCTCTGCCAGTGATGACTGGGATAAATTATTTGTCCTCTTTATGCCTCAAATTCAGGTGTAAAGAGTGAATAACATTATCAGACAGTATGCCTCAAAGGGTGGGCCATGGATGACCACGGATAATCACATCAGAATTACATGGGGAGCTTGTTCAAAATACAAACACCTGGGCCCCACCTGCAGTGACTCTGATTCATGTATCTGGCAGCAGTCCATGAATCTGCAATTTTTGATTTATATCTTTTTTTTTTTTTTTTGAGGCAGAGTCTCACTCTATCACCAGGCGCCAGGCTGGAGTGCAGTGGCGCGACCTCAGCTCACTGCAACCTCTGCCTCCAGGGTTCAAGCAATTTTCCTGCCTCAGCCTCCCGAGTAGCTGGGACTACAGGCGCATGCTACCACGCCCAGCTAATTTTTTTGCATTTTTAGTAGAGACGGGGTTTCACTATGTTGGCCAGGATGGTCTCGATCTCTTGACCTCGTGATCTGCCTGCCTCGGCCTCTCTAGGCTGAAGTGCAGTAGTGTGATCTCGGCTTACTGCAGCCTCTGCCTCCTGAGTTCAAGCAATTCTTGTGCCTCTTCGTCCTGGGTACCTGGGATTCCAGGTGCATGCCACCACACCCAGCTAATTTTTGATTTTTAGTAGAGACAGGGTTTCGCCATGTTGGCCAAGCTGGTCTCAAACTTCTAGCCTCAAGTGATCCACCTGCCTCAGCCTCCCAAAATGCTGGGATTCCAGGCACACGCCACCATGCCTGGCCCACATTTTTAGTCACTGTCCCAAGTGATTCTGAGATACACTGAATCACTCCCATAGAGACAAGATTAATATAGAGCACTTAGCTACCTTGAAAAATATGAAGCTAATTTTAATAAATATACTTTTTATGCCATAGAAACTTAACACCCAATAGCACTTGTGCTTAAAATACTTTAACTTCATAGACAATAGGAGGTCAGCTTGCTAAGTAATGTTGCTGGTCATTAAATATGCCTCACAATTCTCCTTTGTGTTTAATTAGAGCCTTCATCTTTTTTTCTCTTGCATAGGAAATAGCAGAATATTTGTGGACTGGATCCAAATAAGGAGCCCAGATGAACTTAAAGAAGCAAGCATGGGATTCTTAGTTTTTCAAGATCCATACACACAAAACCTTTAATCAGCACCAACTCCAGTGTCCCGAGTTTTCTCTGATTTTGTAAAGACTGAGCAAAACTCTCATGATGGAAAAGCAAAGGACTTAGTTACCTGTTTCAGTGTCATCTAAAGTCAACTGAAAAGTGAACCAGGCAGAGTAATACAGCCATGGAAAGAAATTCAAGTTTATGGAAGAACCTCATAGATGAACACCCAGTCTGCACAACCTGGAAGCAAGAGGCTGAAGGAGCCATTTATCATCTTGCCAGTATTTTATTTGTAGTAGGTTTCATGGGCGGCAGTGGATTCTTCGGGCTCCTTTATGTCTTCAGTTTGCTAGGGTTGGGTTTTCTCTGTTCTGCTGTCTGGGCTTGGGTAGATGTCTGTGCAGCCGACATATTTTCCTGGAATTTTGTACTCTTTGTCATCTGCTTCATGCAATTTGTTCATATTGCATATCAAGTTCGCAGCATAACCTTTGCCCGAGAATTCCAAGTGTTGTACAGCTCCCTTTTCCAGCCCCTGGGGATCTCTTTGCCTGTCTTCAGAACGATTGCTTTGAGCTCTGAAGTGGTTACTTTGGAAAAGGAACACTGTTATGCCATGCAGGGGAAAACTTCCATTGATAAACTCTCCTTGCTTGTTTCAGGAAGGTTTGTACCTTTGGTGCTTGCATGTCTTTCCTCAAGTATTAGTTATCTGTTTGTGTTTCTTTCCACTATATTTTTCTGTCTCAGTGTAGCATAGTCCTGGGTGGCATTTAGCACCCTGAGGCTTTAGTAAGTCTGTGATACATGAGTCACAGACATAGAAATAGGCATTTAGAGTATACGGCATTATTTTCTTGAAGCAAAAAATAAGAGCTTTAATATTTCATCTTAGAAATCAAATTACATGAATCCTTTAAAGTATGAGTTTGTTTTTCTGGATGCGATATTTGTTTCCTAGATAATTACTGAAAGTCAAGAAAAGGATAATGTCAGCTTCAGTGCCTCAATTAATAAAATACTTATATTGGCATACAAAGTATTTTAAAAACTCTTTGATAGGGCATTCTTTTAAGTAACAGAGAACATTTAAATTTTATTGTCTTTTTTTTTTTTTTTTTTCGGTAAATTCTAACAATCGCCCATGAGCAGCAGACTGTGGGGGCAGAGGGTGGGGCACTTCAAGAACATATATAGAAATCTAAACTTTGAAAACAGGCCAGGTGCAGTGGCTGATGCCTGTAATCCTAGCACTTTGGGAAGCCAAAGTGGGAGGATCACCTGAGGTCAGGGATTCGAGACCAGCCTGGCCAACACTGTAAAACTCCCATCTCTACCAAAAATACAAAAAACAAAATTATCCAGGCATGGTGGCACATGCCTGTAGTCCTAACTACTTGGGAGGCTGAGGCAGGAGAATCACTTGAGCCTGGGAGGCAGAGGTTGCAGTGAGCCAAGATCACGCCACTAAACTCTAGCCTAGGCAACAGAGCGAGACTCTATCTCAAAAATAAAATAAACTTTGAAAACAACGTTTGGGAAAGGAAACAATAATGGGATTACTCATGGCTTTCAAAAAGTTAAAAATTTGGTTTATAGGCCAGGCATGGTGGCTTATGCCTGTAATCCCAGCACTTTGGGAGGCCAAGGCTAGTGGATCACTTGAGGTCAGGAGTTTGAGACCAGCCTGGCCAACATGGTGAAACCCTGTCTCTACTAAAAATACAAAAAACTTAGCTGGGTGTCATGGTGCACACCTGTAAGCCGAGTTACTTGGAAGCCTGAGGCACCAGAATCACTTGAACCTGGGAGGAGGAGGTTGCAGGGAGCCGAGATCATGTCACTGCGCTCTAGGCTGGGCAACAGAGTGAGACTCTGTCTCAAAAAAATAGATAAATAAAAATAAGTTAAAAAATAAAAATTTGGTTTACAGAGGTATTTGCAGAACTCCTCTGTGTTCTTGTTTCCCTACTTAATTTAAAATCTGACAGAGTCCATTAAAACATTTTATTGAAGTATAATATACATACATAAATGGACATGTATCATAAATGTACAACTTCATGCATTTTCTGATGAATTTCACTCAATATTCCGGAATCCTGGCTGTGTAAGGAACATAAGAACATGAATCTTAAAGGGTATTATGTCACTTAATATAATGTATGAATTTAATATTTTGCCTTTCAAAATCGTAAAGGGCAAAACAGTCATCAGGGATCTGAAATACACTTCTTCTACCCCCTACCCCTGCCCAATTATGTGCTTTCTTTCTCCTTCCCTTGTAAATGATGTTCTTGTGTTTTGATAGGATCAGAGTGACAGTTGATGGCGAATTTCTGCATTACATTTTCCCCTTTCAGTTCCTGGATTCTCCTGAGTGGGATTCACTGAGACCCACAGAGGAAGGCATTTTTCAGGTAAGGGATAACTGGATCACAAGGTTAGCACTCCCTCTTCCAAACAGATAATCTTTGTTTAAAAATAAGCAAACACAACAGTGGATAAGACAAGAATAATTTAAGACTTTGGGCCGGGTGTGGTGGCTCATGCCTGTAATCCAGCACTTTGGGAGGCTGAGGCGGGCAGATCACAAGGTCAGGAGTTCAAGACCAACCTGATCAACATGGTGAACCCTCGTATCTACTAAAAAAAAAATGCTAAAAGTAGCCAGGTGTGGTGGCACGTGCCTGTAATCCCAGCTACTCAGAAGTTGAGGCAAGGAGACTCGCTTCAACCTGGGAGGCAGAGGTTGCAGTGGGCTGCACTCCAGCCTGGGCAACAGAGCAAGACTCTATATCTCAAAAAAGACTTTGGAATGTACTTTGCAGCATACATGACTTCCCAATTCTGTTGGACTCCTGAGGATTAATGCCACTTTATAGGTTCAGCAGTGAGAAGAACAGGTACTACATATGACAGGAAGGAGTCTGTGATCAATACTTTATGCTTTACTTTGCATAACTGCATATTTATATTTAAAATATAACTAATTGAGATCTGAGTAAACATTGCTAATGCAACAGTCTAGAAACATCAAGAACAACAAAAAAGTTGCACTTACTAAAAAATAAATGATTTTTTAAATTTAAAATACTAGTGGATTTCAGTTGTTTTCTAGCAACAGAATGCTAAACTTACTGTCATTACCTGCTGCCACATCTGAAAGTTTTGAAAGATAATCATTTCAGCAGGTTTCATTTATTTGTTACATTGTTTTCTTATAAATACACATATGTGTATATGCAGCAAACGCATATATGCAAGTTAGTTATATAAATTATATTTTGTACTGCAGAAACTGCTTTAGGGTTAAATGTCCACAGTTTTCAGAATTGACTTGGAAATATTTCTGTAACATTAGCCAATTTTATTTTTTTAGTATCAAGTCATTCTCCCTTCAATAAAATGCAAAATATAGATACTTGAACTCATAAAAACAGAGAGATTGGAGATAGCTAGAACATTGCGATTATTCATATTATAAATTATATATGTAGTGACAAATTTTGTAGTTCCTATTTTTGCAATATATTGTAGGTCAGTGGGTTTTTTCAACCTAAAGAAAGGCAGCAAGTGAAATTAACATTTGCGGTAGAAAAAATGTGGCAGAAGTTTTCTTGCCTCATCTGTTTATGCGTGGTCTTGTGTTTTTTAGGTAACCCTCACTGCAGAAACTGATTGTCGATATGTGTCTTGGAGGAGAAAGAAATTGTATCTGCTCTTTGCTCAGCATCGTTATATCTCCCGCCTGTTTTCAGTGTTAATTGGCAGTGACATTGCAGATAAACTCTATGCCTTGAATGACAGGGTTTATATAGGAAAAAGCTATCACTATGATATTCGGCTACCCAACTTCTATCAAATGTCAAGTCCAGAAATACGCAGATCACCCCTGACACAACATTTTCGGAATTCCAGACCATACTGTGAAATTTAAATATAAAAAAAGACTCTCTCTTCACCATTCCCCAAATGAAATAGCAAAATACAAAAAAATTAGCTAATATTTTTATAAATCGAATTCAAAGCGAGACGCTGTTACCAACTGTTTTATTCCTTTCAACAAGTGCATTGTGAATAAATTTTACAAATTTTTCTTGTATTTCTTACTGTTATAATTGGGGAGGGGGTGGATAACTATGGGCAGTTTGCCCTTTTCTGCCCCAGAACTGGGAGAATGAAATTCCACATTCTCAATTCTTTTCTCACATTTACTCAAATGCATTGTTTTGCCCTATAGACTCAGGTGTTGCTTCTCAAGAAGCAGCCAGCAGGTATTCCCAGCCTGAGGGTGGGTTGCTACTGTCCACATAGGCATTTCCAGAATTCACCTTTTTTTTTTTTTTTTTTTTGCTACATCCTCCAATGAAAAGAAGATTTATTACTGTGGTGGGCAGCAATTATTTATTTTAAATGTGCAGTTATTTGATGTGACTAAAAAGGAGAATAAATGCAAGAGATAATATGTGAATCTTGAAGCCTATTTTATTGCTACAAATAAAATAACATTGAAAAAGAAGCATTTTGTGGAAAACAAAGCTGCCTAATCATTACTAAGTACTCCTGAAAAAGAGTACTCCTGAACCAAAGGTAAAAATGTTGCATGGTGTTTCAATTTCACGTGTTCAGTGGAAAGAGCTTTCAGTGGTGTGACTGGACAGTGAGGGTTCACAGGGAATGCCCAGCCCACCACACAAACACAAGGGTCTGCCTCATAGCCAGTGCTTCAGCTTTGTGAAGAAGAGCTTAAGAAAGAACCCTAGTTGCAGATCTGATCCCTACCTTCGGAAAACTGGTTTTCTGAAGATCACATTCAGGCTATGTTCTTTGATACAGAGATATATCCTCCAACACATAACAAGTGTGTACTGAGTATCTTCTGTGGCTCTAGGTGCTGACCTAGGCATGGGGATGGAGATCCCACCCCTGATAAAGCTTACATTCTGGGGGTATGGGAGACATAATAAAGTAAGTCAGAAAAAACCTATATTTAGAAGGCAATAGTGCTAAGGGGAGTGATAGAGAAGGTAGATAAGAAGGGGCATTGCCATTTTAAGAGTGGTCAAGGAAAGCCTCCAGAAGAAGGAATGTTTGAAGACCTGAAAGAGGCAATGGAAGAATCCACACAGCTATCTGGGGGAAGAGCAATCTGGGCAAAGAAGACAGCGACTGAGCAGGCCCTTAGGCATGAGCATGACTGGCCTGCTCCAGGAGCAGCTGGAAAGCTAACATGGCTGGCACAGAATGAACAGAAACTAACTGTGGGCAGATGGGGTAAGGCCTAAATAAGTCATGATAAGGACTTTGACTTTTAATTCTAAGAGTGGCCAGAAGCCATTGTAGGGTTTGAAGTAGAAGAGTGATATGATCTGCCCCATGTTTTAATAGGATCAGTCTGGCTAGCCTGCTGAGCATAGACTAGAGGGAGGAGAGAAAAGAGTGGACTTGGAAAGCAGAATGAGGATTAAGAGTGAGATGCCCGCTGGACACTAAAGTGGAGGAGATAGTTGGATATATGAGCCTGGAGTTCAAAAGAAAAGTCTGGGCTGAAGGGACAGCTTTGAGAGTATTTAGCATATAAGTGGTAGCCATGAGTGTCCCTGAGATGGCCAAAAGAGTGAGTATAGATTCTGAAGAAAAATGGTTGAGGGCTTGCCTTGGGGCACTCCATTGTTAAGAGGAGGAGGAGATAGGGAAGAGTCAGCAAAGCATCTGACGAGGAGCAGCCAGTGAGGTAGGAAGAAAATCAGGAGAGCCTGGGATCCTGTAAGCCAAGCAAAGAGACTTTCTGGGAGAAGGGCATGATGAACTATCTCAGATGTGGCTGAGAGGCCTGAGAATAAACTGTCGAGTTAAGCAACATGGAAGTCATTAGGGAACTTAACAAGAGCAGTTTTGGTGGAATGAGGAGGAACAAAAACTTGACTGAAGCAGTGAAGGAGAATGAGAGGCCAGAAGTTGGAACAGTAAGGGTAGGTAAGTTTTTCAAGGAGTTTTGATGTGAACAGAAATAGAAACGGACAGTTGCCTGGGCAGAAAGTGGGGCCAAGAGAGGGGGTTGTTATTAAGATAAGATGGTGCAGTTGCATGTAGATGGAAATGATCCAGAAGTGACGCATGAACTGCAGGAGTGATGACCTTGAGCAGGTGATGGTATTCAGTGGCCTTAAAGAGAAATGTGAACAATTCTTCATTAATAAAAAAAGAAGAGTATCTGGAAGAGTAGTTGTTGGCCAGTGGGAGATGTGGTGAGAGGTTGTAAAAGTTCTCTAGTGAATTATTTTCTTAGTGACCAAGGAAGAAAAGTCGGCAAGGAGAAGGGGAGAGGAAGTACTGGGGTTATATAAAGGGCATTGTTTTTTCCTGTATGTTAGCATACCATAAGTGGGACAATGTGACATGGTCTAAATCATTAGTCTGGATGAACTACTGAGCTAGCTATTCAAGTTCAGCATGAACTCAAGGAATCACTGGAATGGTTTCTTCTATATCTTGGCCACACACGGCCATCATGAGCAGCTCTCTCAAGCAGACACAAAGGCAACTCTCTGCCAGGTGCAATCAGAGGCCTTCAGGAAGCATCCACTGGCTTGTCAGTGGGCTTCACAATGGCTCTGGGAGAAATTCATTTCTTTGAATCTTTAAGACTTTGAGGTATTTATAAAGTATTAAAATGCAGATCATCCCAGGTAGAAGTCACACCTTAGGTTAGTACTACCAGGTAATAATTTTACAGGGATTATCAGATAGCTTTCTAACATTACGGTCACAAGAAAACAAAGTCACATAGAAATGGTATGTAGACTTTTGGCTCAAATCATGTGGCAGAGGATACAAGATTTTATATGTAAGTTTTCCAGAAATCTAACTATTTTTACTAAGAGGAGAAAGGGGTACAAACATAAGGGGATAAAGGGATACTGAAAGAGGAGGTAAAGGGATGCTTTGAAACCTCACAGTCTTCACTTCTGTAGAGGGTTGGCACCGTTCCTTGGTGTATCTAACACCAAGGTTTGCACCCAGGTTTTTTCACTTTATTAAAAAAAAATTAAAAACCTACAGTGACCTCTATGTAGCTATACTGTATGTCTGGTTTGAAATATCTAACAAACCACATACTATCTCAGAATAAACCAGATGGAAAGCAGAAATGACATATATCCTAGAAAAATATCCCTGTATCGTAGTGCCCCTAAAATTTAATTTTTATTGAAAATTGGGCTCATTTTAGTCTTGGCCTAATAATTTCTACTAATAAATTCCTTTGGTTCTCTTAACATTGTTAAGAGGGCACTAAAATGAGGAACAGCTTGTGTTCTTGTGCCAAAATGCTTTATGGCTTTGTATACAAGATCTGGGTATTCAAAAATAAATGGAGCTCTTCATTGAAAGACTCAAGAATTTCAAGATGGAGATAGCAGGGCACTAAGCCAAGTGTGGGGCTCTTGTAAGCCTGGAGCCCTTTGTGACTGCACAGGTTGCATACCCAGGAAGCTGGCCCTGGCTGAGTTGTTCCTATGACTTTAAGAAATTGGGATGACTGCCTTGTGATTTTCTGTCCTAATTTTTGGGGTCAGGAGGGACTCTGAGAAGTAGTGAATCTCGGGAAAGGGAGTGGCTTTGGCACAAAATGAGGCCATAAAAACCCCACACCCCAGTCACCAAGGCAAGTTCCTGGGGCTACATGCTTCTCTTGCACGGCCTTTCCTTCACCTGCGTATCTGGAGGCTTCCCATCCCCATGGGACTATTCCTCTGAACTCGCTTTGACCCCTGTGCAAATATAAGAAAGGACCAGTGTGATTTGCCTTGGACTCTGCAGTCCCTAGGAACTCATAAGCTTGTGATTAGTCTACTGTAAAGAATAGTAGGATGCTCTCTGAGCACTTACGGGTTGAAGAATTTTTCTCTCCTCTTCAACAGAGGAGCAGAAGGAAATTCATTTGCTCTCTACTAATCTGGATAAGCTCGGAATGCCACATTGTTACACTGCTCAGACCTGGAAGGGCAGAATTGATTTAACAGGTCAGTTACAAAGTGAAATTTCCTAAGCTGACAAGTGCCATAAGAAAAACAAACTAGGCAGACAGTACATGTTATTGTAAAAGCAATACATTTACAGTTTTATGTACGTGAGATGCTTGGTTGGACAAAAGGCATAAATATACCTGCAGCATTGGATAGCACTTTCTAATCAGGTTCCATGTTCCTCCCTATATTATACATTGTTAGATAACTTAAACTTCAGAAACGATGTGTCAAATTAATATTTACTTTTAGTAAAAGGCAGTTTTTATACAAGTTAAAGAGATCAACGGGCCCAATTAATTCCACTGTTTTTCTTCATTCTACTAAAATGTAACACATACATATCAATCAAAAATACAAATAAGCATTAGCATCATATAGACCTATTATAATAAAATACAGGTTTAATTTGATAGAACTGTGTATTATTTCAAGACTGGAAATCTTACAGTTGTGAAAAGATGCAGCAAGACTGAAACATTGGTTACTTTAACTTTTAGTCATCTCATCATAAGTATTACCATGACTATAATGCTGAATTGTACATATGCATGTAATATCAGCATGATTTGAATGTAACTTCAAGTTTTATTACTATGCTAAATTTGACTAGTTTTAAAACCTGCTATTAAAGATTGGCGGGAACTTTACAACATATTTTTCTCCCTAAGAACTGATAATTTGAGTAAGATTCTAAAATATTTGTTTTTATATAATTTCATAGAATTTTTAGCTCCACTTGATATTCTATCAAGTGTCCCAGGCCATCAGAATCGAGATTACTACTTTTATTAAATGTAAATTTATCTCACAAAATTATACAATTAGAAAACAATGTTTTACATTTATTTAACACTTTATAGTTTACAAAGCACATGTCTACATGTGATTTCATTTGCTTGTTCCTTGGAAGAATCCTATTTTATGGATAAAAATCAGAGAGACTGAATCACAGTTAGTAAACAATGGTGACACTCAGCTTAAGCCTAATTCTTCCAAATTAGTGTCCTTGCAGTTTTCATGCTGCATTGACCATATTCTTGATTGTGTTCCTGACTTGGAGAGTACTAAAATG